CTTCTTAGCCACCTCGTTGTTAGAGAAGCATTTAATTAATAACAAATATAAACAACTATAATTAAATAATAAATAAAAAGAAATGTAATTAATAAAATAAATAAAAAGAAAAAAATAAATAAAACAAATAAATCAATAAAGATATTCAACTAAACAAATACATCCCTGCAACACAACCAAGCTAAATTTATTTTTATTATTTTTATTATTTTTATTATTTTTATTATCTTTTTTTTTATTTTTTTTATAATTATTAACAAATCTTACACAAGCTTAATATTGTTTATTATTATTATTATTTTATTTATTATTATTCTTTTTATTTTTATCTTTATTTTTATTTTTATATCTCACTAAGATATAAAAAAGAGTAAACAGCTGTATATTCTTCTTTTTATTGAAAAGAAGTGTAATCAGCTGCTTTTGCTTTCTTTTCTTTTTCTTTTTTTTCTTTTTTTTTTCTTTTTTTTCTTTTTACTAATAACAACATTTTTTAATATTAATAGTAATAATAGTAATATAAATAGTTAGTTTATTAATAATAATAATAATATAAACAAAAATAAAAATAAAAATAAAAATAAAAATAAAAATAAAAATAAAACAAAAACAAAAACAATAATCTTATGAGTGTATAAATGATAATATCTCCATCACTGAAAAAAAAACAAATTTCTTATTAATTAGGGTTATTATTGTTGTTACTATTCCTATTATTATTTTTTATTGTTTTTTTTTATTTTTTTTTTTATTTTTTTATTATAATTATTAATATTATTATTTTTATTTTAATAATTATTATTATAATGTTATATGTGCGCTGCTCGTATACACCGCCCTACTACTGTTTGTGTATTGAGTGGGTTTTTGTGTTTGTGGCTATTTGTATGATTGTATGAATAAATAAAAAAGAAATAAATTAAAAAATAAATATATTTTAATATTTTATTCGTTCAAAAAGAAGAACAGAAGAAAATACAAACACAAGCCACGGGGTGTATAGGCAGCTGTCGATGCTGGTTGCTGCTAAGAGAAGGAAACAGGCTGGGCAGTATAAACAACAGAACCTGAAATAAAATAAAAAAATAAAACAAAATAAATTAAATTAAATTAAATTAAATTAAATTAATTTAAATTAAATTAAATACAAATATCCTGGATAGTTATCTGGGGTGTATGCGCAGCTCCACTGCAGACGTTCGGGTGTATGGATGGCTGTGACGCTGCAGTTGCTCTCAAAGCTTTCTCTTTTTTAATTTAATTTTTAAATTAATTTTATTTTTTTATTTATTTATTCTTATTTTCTTTTCTTTAACGCATAAAACAACTCCCTTTATGGTGGCCTTGGCTTACCGCCTGAGGGCCCCCTGTATCTCACCATCTCTCATTCTTCTTTGTTTGTTGCTGTATATTTGTTTATTTATTTCTTTTTTTTTGTTATTTTTTTAATTTATTTTTTATTTTTTTTTGTTTTTTTTGCATTTATTTTCTCTTTCTT